CGTAATGGCATTGAAAGCAGTTTTGCATATATCTTCCTTGGCCATTTCGATTTGATGGAATCCGCTTGCTAGATCCAAGGTCGTGAAGTATTGGCATCTACCAAGTTTATCCAGAATGTCTGTGATGTTCGGAATTGGGTATTTATCGTTGATGGTTTTTTCGTTTACTTTCCTATAGTCCACTACTATACGCGATTTTATTTTTCCAGAGGCATCTGGTTTTTTTGGAACTATCCATATCGGGGAAGAGCAAGGTGATTGACTTGGCCTGATAATTCCTTGATCCAACATTGAAGATATTTGTGTTTTCACTTCCTCCTTATGGATATGTGGATATCTGTATGATTTGGTGTATACTGGAATCTCATCTTTTGTTTTAATATGGTGTTTGACCTGGTTCGTAAAGGTCAGGGACATGTCTGGATAATGAAAAATGTCTGAATACTTCCTACATAAATTTTGTATTGCTTTCTCTTCCTCCGAATTTAGATGATCAGTCCTGATTTCGGGAATCTTGCCATGCGGAGTACGAGATTCTTGAGAAATTATATCAGTGGTGTAGATGTGGAACTGGTCGAGGTCCAACTGAGCGCTAGTGACTGGACTTGTCAGAGCTATCTGAAGTTCTTCGTCAGTCGTGTTGACAATTTCAGTCCAAGCGAGTTGATTACAAGCAGATGTGAGTGTTTCGTTAATTTTTGCACCCCGGAGTTCTTGTTTTGGTAGAAGAATTGTACCCTGGGTTTCTTTTACTGGGACTCGTACTCTGGAAACGGTGTTGGGTGCCAACAGGATGGAATAGAATTGGGTTTTGATCGTTTCCTAGTATTCAATTGGAAGAATGGCATTTTCAGTGATAAGAAGCGAAGCTGGCAGGTCCAATTTGGCTTGCAGTAGCTTCAGGTTATCGAGTCCAATGAGGCCATCAAATGTTTGGTGGAATTTGAATAGGTAGAAATTTGCCTTTTGATTTGAGTTGAACTCTGGAAACATGGGAATGTGAGCGCAATAGTCCTGAGAGTGGTTATGTCTGGATTAATAAATGATTTCGTAGCGCCGGTATCTATAAGGAGCTTTAAAGGTGGATTGGCGATAGATATGTATGGTAGTTCCTTCCTGTTGGTATAATTATGTAGTTCTATTATAGTTCTGTTTCTGGATCGGCCACTTCTGGAAAATTTCCTCTTTCAGTGTATTGGTGTTCTTCATATGATCGCTGCTGGTAGTCTTCTTGTTGTGTTTCTACATCATAGTAATCATTCTGTGTTTCTGGATTGGTGTATCCATAAAGATAGTTATCCTGGGCTTCGTCATGTTGCTCAATATTGAACAATTCTTCGACAGTAAACTTTGGAGCAGATTGTTGTGGAGGTTTTGCGGTGGCTCTTGATGAAGTGCTTATGGGTGTTGGTTGTGGAAGCGTGCGGTTTGGACTACTTTGCCAGACATTAAATTGTAGTCGAGGAGCCTGGAATCGTGCAGGCTGTACGAAAGGCTGTCTAGTCTGGTTGAATGGGGATCTGAATTGCTGTGTTTGCGGTTGTGGTGCTCTCTGGAATGGCGAGGAGGGCCACAACTGCTGATTGGAATTTTGGGGCCTGAATTGTTGCGACTGGAATGGTTTCGAGAAGGTTTGGCCGGGTTGCATTCCTATCTGCTTCTGAGGATGTTGGTTTGTTTTCGAGCCACTAGGTTGTGTAATGGAGAAGCCTTTCTGAAGGTATCTAATGTTATTTTCTTCCTGGATAAATTGAATTGCTGCGGACAGGTCTTTGGGTCGCATAGCTCGAATAGTTGATCCTAATGGTTCTCTCAGTCCTGCCATGAATGTAGTGAGCGCCTGTTGATGGAAGAATTGCTTTTTGCTTGTTTTGACATCTGGATTATTATGGTGGAGTTCTATATAGTTGGAAATAGTATTCAGAAGTCCCATGACTTTTTCATAGAATTGTTGAGGAGATTCGTTTGGCATTTGACGTAAGTTAACGAGGTCTCTTGTAAGGGAATTCTCATTACGTTGATCGGCGAAGTTTTGTATCAGGACTTCTTTAATTGATTTCCAATCGAGGCATCCATAGATTGAAACAGTTTCCTTTGCTCGGCCGGTTAGTTTACTTTTGATGCCCTGGGTGAGCATGTGGTTTTGGAAGCATCCTACATCATTTTTGTTCCAGTAGTAATTTAGGAGTAGCGTTGTGGAGTTGATGAACTCGAAGAGTTCGTTTGGATTTCCGTTATATTCCGGAACAATAGCCAGGTTCTTCATGTCAAAATTTGGAGGATTGGCAGGCATTTTTTCTTCAAGATTTTCTTCGAAGTTTTCTTCAGGGGGAAGTAGAGGCAGGTTGTTTGAGTCGATAAGAGTTAGAACTTGGAGTTGTCGTAGTAAATCGTCAGTAGACATATATTATGCTTACAGTAATAATATAATGCAATAGTGCATGCTAACACTAAAATCACTAAATCACTAAAATTCACTTTATTACTAAACTTTGTTGGAGAACTTTAAAGTTTCCTTCACGATACGGTTCACTAGTGGATAACGTTCACGAACGACGAGGATCCTTAAGGACTCTTCCACTATACTACAGACTGCGCCAATTAAGGGTTTTTCCTGGAAAAGGGTGTTTTTAAAAAGCCCTTTAATAAAATTTAATATTTATTACGAGAACACAATGTAAGTTGGAACTAATTCTATCGTCTAATTGTCTACAATTTATACATAAAATATTGCTTAGCTAAGCTATCGAATTTAATGGAAATTAGGTTGGTATATCAAGTTGTCGCTGCAATTGCTTGTCCCGAAAACCCTTAATTCGGGTCACATAACGACCTCCTAATTTCTATTACGGGTTCCTGAATGACCGTTAATACATCGATTTTAAGACATTTTTATGTACTTCATTTTATTACACTTGATCCTATTATCGCGTAGAATATGGCTCTGTGAAGTAGGCAGGCGCACTTCAAGCACAAACGTTGAATTTTACGTAATCGTTTTGTGCTCCGTTAGTGCTTCAATGTGCTTCAATCCTCACATTAGCAGCCCTTATATTTCCAGAGATATTTCGGTTTTTAGAAATCGCCGGCCTACTTCACACCCAGCAGGAACATTGGAAGCATCAGCGGTCAGTTGTAGAGGGATAATATTGAAAATTGGTGCTTCGTTAGTGCTTCATGATGCACCATCTCCGCTTTTAGTAATAGACCGTCAGATAGTGACATTTTTTGGTGCCTCATTTTCTAACGCAAGCCTCGAAGAGGGTCGAAAAGTACATCGATTTTGAGTAGAACAAAGTGAAATTTACGATTGTCTCGTGGGGATAACATATGAAAAAAATCGATTTTCCCTAAGAAAAATGAAAGCTTCCAGGTTACCATATTTTCACGCAAGCCGTGTTCACTACAGGATTAATTAACACAAAATGGTTTCGGAAAACCAATAGCTTGAGTATTGCAGGTGGCTAAAGGGTTGGAATAAGGGCGTAATCTTGCGAGGGACAATCGAGATTTTTAGCGATTTTTCCAGACAAGCTCATAGAAAATATAAAAATGAACATCGTCTCTGCCCGAAAAATATATGGCTTGAGTTTCGCGAATGAATATGTTTATTTTCGGGTAACTAGAAGAAAAATCGATTTTTTCATATGTTATCCCCACGAGACACTCGTAAATTTCACTTTGTTCTACTCAAAATCGATGTACTTTTCAACCCTCTTCGAGGCTTGCGTTAGAAAATGGGGCACCAAAATATGTCACTATCTGACGGTCTATAACCCTATTCCCAGAGATGCTTCGACTTTTCGCTGCTGTTTTCACACTATCGGGCTCGAGAATACGGACAGCACAAATTTTGGTCTAAAAAATTCATAAATCTGGTTAGTACTAAGTGCTTCCCAAGCAAAAAAGGTTTTCAATTTCGTAACTTTGGATCCCTCCTAACTTGAACCAGGCGCACCAACATAAAAAAATAACATTGGCAGTCCCATTATGGCCCAGCAATGGTTGTTCATAGCCCATTTAAGTGTGTGAAATCAGCAGGCGATTGCGAAAAATCGAAATATCTCTGAAAATATCAGGGTGGCCAATTTGGAGGTTGAGGCACATTGAAGCACTAACGAAACACTAACCATTAATCTACAATTGACTGTTGGTGCTTCCATTGTTCCAGCTGAGTGTGAAGTGAGCAGGCGATTTCTAAAAACCGAAATATCTCTGGACGTGGAAAAATAAGGGCTGCTAATTTGGGGGTTAGAGCACAGTGAAGCACAAACGAAGCACTAAACATTTATCTAAAATTGATCGTTTGTGCTTTTACTGTTCCTGCTGAGCGTGAAGTGAGCAGGCGATTTCTAAAAACCGAAATATCTCTGGAAATATAAGGGCTGCTAATGTGAGGCTTGAAGCACATTGAAGCACTAACGAAGCAAAATTCAACGTTTGTGCTTGAAGTGCGCCTGCCTACTTCACAGAGCCGTAGATTTTTCTAATTTGGTTGTACGTTCATTGAAATCTAAGATGAGGGATTTAAGATAAATCTATTAGATGCTTTACGTCTGTTTGCATGCAAACTTGCTTCGTTAATATATTGAAATGTGTATTTGATAATCTTGGAACTTTTTTATTGAATTTAGGTTGTGGTATAAAAAAAGTGTTTTTTTCATGGATTTAAAAAAAAAGAAGCATTTTGGAAAAAGTAATTAAAATTTAATGAAAGTTAAATATCTAAGAGCTACTCTAGATATGAGACAAAATACAACACAAGAAATGGTTCAAAGTAACTTATAATTTATAAACCTAAAAATCATGCAAGCTATTAGCAAAAATCATCAGAATCATTCTTACTTATTAATGAAAAATTAATGAAAGTTAAATATCTAGAAGCTACTCCAGAAATTAGACAAAATACAAAACAAGAATCGGTTCAAAGTAACCTATAATAATTTATAAACACAAAAATCCTGCAAACTAGTAGCAAAGGTTATCAAAATAATTTTTACTTATTTATTTTTATACAAATTATAGACGAAAGCTTTTATTTTGACCCAGTTTTTATTATGAAATTTTTCTTTATTTTCTTGTATGAATAATTCAACTTCATTTTTCTTTGGTGGAATTTTTTTTCTTATGTGTTCCCTGAAAAATATTTTAATTCTTTCCTTCTGGTCTTCAGTGAATCTTACTTTTTCGCCTGAAACAAAGAAGGTAATGATTTATGCGATAGTAAATAATTCTACACAATAGCAAAATATTTTACCTTTCGTATGAGTTATTTTATCTTGGGTTTTTTCGTTTATTTTGTTTTTCTTATAGCGTAAGGAACTTGAAGTGCTGGGCTGAGGCTCTAAAAATAAATACGAGTATCAATAATCAACACTGTCGCTTTGATACAGTTTAAATAATAAGAGCTTTGAAATATATTTGTTTTCGTTCAACGTTTCAAGCGTTTACACCTATTTCCTGTTCCGTATAATGAAAAACCAGCCTTTTCCAAAAAAACTGACATTTCGCTTCGAATATGTTGATGTTATACTTTTATATCATTAGACAGTTCCTATTGGCATGGAGTGAATTTACTATTTTCATTGAATGTCAAAAAAGTTGATACATTCATTTTAAGTTTTGCTTTCATGTGCCTAGGGGATTACTATAAGCGACGGACGTAGAAGTACTTTTTACTGCCGCTGCCATTTTTTTTTATCATACCCATAATGGGAAATGTGCAATTTGACGTTTTCGTAGAAGCAATTATTTGTGACTCGTCTGTGTATTGCTGTCCTCACTTTGTCTGTTCGGCAAACTCACAAACTCGTCACAAAAGTAGCGCTTCTACTCATGAAACAATATACTACCCACTATAGACATGTGAAACTAAGTTAACTAATCTGATGTTGACGTTTTGGACACTTCATTCGCTAAATGACAGATTCGAAATATTAAAGATTCTATCATCTTAGCCAGATAAAGAAAATTATGGCATTAGATCTCAAGTCGGATTTCACTTTTTGAGTATGAGCAAAGACTAACTTTATTTTATGAAAAATAAATAATTCATTTTCTTAAAGACAGGCTCAAACATGCCTGAAAAAGTCACTAGGCTGAATACTTTTTGAAATAAAGCACAAAAAGACAGTCTCCGGAAACTAAAAATAAGTGTTTTGTAATCTAACCATCCCAAAACGAGTAAAACTATTACGTTTTTTTTTTAAACACGATATTGCATTATTAGAGGATTGTTACAAAGGCTTACCTTCATAATCCGAATCACTGAGTATATCTTTAGTGATAGTTGCAGTTCGTTTAGTTTTCCTGGGCAGAGCGACGTTCTTTTCAGTTTCTTCAAATTCAGAATCTTCGCAATCGGTGTTATCAGAAAGTTCAAAATCGTCAAGTCCCTTTCTTTTAAACTTAGCAGCTTTACAAAGTAATAATTTATGCAATAGTAAATAATTCTAAACAATAGCAAAATATTTTACCTGTTTTATGAGTTGTTTTATCTTGAGTTTTTTCGTTTCTTTGATTTGTCTTATAGCGTGAGGAGTTTGAAATGCTGGGCTGAGGCTCTAAAAATAAAAAAATATATATACGAGTATCAATAATCAACACTGTCGCTTTGATACAGTTTAAATAATAGGGTCTTTAAAATATTTTTTTTTTGTTAACTTTTGAAAAGATTGTTAGAGATGCTTACCTTCATCCTCAGAATCAATGAGTATATCTTTAGTAATAGCTGCAGTTCGTCTAGTTTTCCTGGGGAGAGCGACGTTCATTTCAGTTTCTTCAAAATCAGAATCTTCAGAATCGACGTTGTCAGAAAATTCAATTTCATCGAGTCTCTTTCCTGTATATTTAGCAGCTTTACCTTTATTTATAGCAAGTAGAATTTTTGATACTTTGGCCGTCTGGTACATATCTTGCGGTAGCCTAAAATTCATGTAAGGTGTACAATCAGACGATTATAAAGGGTACCTAGCTAAAATTGCAAGGACACTATGGTTATCCTTGAAATTGGAATGATACAGGGTCACCTAAATTGAAGGAAAGTTGCCCTGTGCAGAGGTCGCTTATTACAAGCTAACAATTTCTCTGTAGTTTTCATACTTATACAGTGTGTCCACTTATGGTTGTAAAAAAAATTAAATTTTAAATTTGGGGCCAAATATTGTTCCGCAGTAAAAAAGTTCTGGTTTGGACTAGGGGTGGGCAAAATAATCGATTATTCGATCAATAATCGATTTATCGATTAATCGATTAGTCGATTATTTTATTTTCAAAAAATCGATAATCGATTAGTCGATTAATAATCGATTAATCGATTATTTTCGATTAATCGATTATTTTCGATTAATCGATTATTTTCGATAATCGATTATTTTCGATTAACCGATTATTTTCGATTAATCGATTATTTTCGATTAATCGATTATTTTCGATTAATCGATCATTTTCGATTAATCGATTATCTTCGATTAATCGATTATTTTCGATTAATCGATTATTTTCGATTAATCGATTTTTTTCGATTAAACGATTATTTTCGATTAGTCGGTTATTTTCGATTGATCAATTATTTACGATTAATCTATTATTTTTTGAGATAATTTTATGTTCTGTTTTTGTTTGCATATCTAAGGGCCGGTTTATTCACCTTCTGATAAACTGTTAGGTATGCAATTTCGCGGATAATAACGCAGTCTGTAATCCCATTGGTTGGCCAGTTATTAGCCGACCCTTGGTGGACCGAGACAATAATTATAGAAGGGTAAATTTATCTTGCAGATAGTTGCCAACCAGCAACTCTATCTGAAGATGAATAAACCGGGCCTCAAACTCCAAAGTAACCAAAGAATTTATTTCAAAACAAGCCGGTTAAGAGCAAGTGATTTTTTTTTACTTTATAAAACCCAAGAAAAAAATCTACCGATTATTGTGAAACAAGCGAATAATCAAAAATAATCGATTGATCGAAAATAAACGATTTATCAAAAAAAAAAATCGATTATTTTCGATTAATCGATTATTTTCGATAAATCGATTATTTTCGATTAATCGATTAATTTCGATTAATCCATTATTTTCGATTAATCGATTATTTTCGATTAATCGATTAATCGATTATTTTCGATTAATCGATTATTCTCGATTAATCGATTAATCGATTATTTTCGATCAATCGATAATCGATTATTTATTTTGATAATCGCCCAGCCCTAGTTTGGACTTCATAGGAAGCATGAGTTCAAACCAGAAAATTGTGTGAACTTACCGATAAAATTCTTCATGGGTTTTCTTAGTATGCCCCATGAATTTGGCAAACTGTTCAAGTTCAGCATCATTTATATTCAAAACTTGGATAACAGTTGCGATTTGTTTTCTTAAGCGTGTTGATGTTATCAGTTCTTTGTTTGAAACCCCACTGCCATTAGCCAATTTTCTCAAAACATGGTAACCACTGAGCCATCGATTTTCTGTTTTTGGATTTGCGAATAAATATTCATTTGATTTGGGTACATATGTATCACGAACGTTTAACATTGATTTAATAAAATTCTGTATGTTGCTGGGAAATAGAATGGGTACTGGTTTACTTCCTTTGCCACCTGTCACAACTCTCATAAATTTCTTCGAAAGGATTTTCTCACTTTCTGATAGAGAATCTAGTAATTCACTCGAACTTTCGTTATTTTCGCTTGAACAATAAACGCTTAACTTAAGATACTGAATCTCTCCAACTCTTTTGCGATTCAGTAAAAGCGTTAAAGCTAAGACACATTCGGCAAGTATTCTGTAGTTCCTATCAATATTTTCCGAGTTATTTATATTTCTAAAGGCACCATGTGCTTTATCCATTACGTATTTTTGAAAGACCATTAGGTCGCTAGTGAGAGGAAGCAATTTCGGCTTTTGCCAGTTTTTCTCATTCAAATCTTTAAGTGCAATACTTGAAATTTCTGTGTTCCAGTTCTGCTGAATCAAGGCTTTCAATCTCTTTACCTCTTTTAAACACTGTTCAGTATTTTCACAGGGCAAAAGCTTGGACTTTTTGATGATGAGTTTAGTAGCAGTATCGCATATGTATTTTAAATTGGTACCCATATGAAGAGCTAAACTGCCCGCTCTAAATGTTTTTGTGTTTATATCAAATCCACTTAATACTTTCGTAGCTGCAACAAAGTTATCAAAGTATTCTGGTTTAAGAATATCAATCAACTGTTTTGCACCACAAGATTTTCTTAACTCTATTAGGAGTCTTCCCATTTCTCTGAGCTTATTAGAAATAACATTTTTTATTTGCGTTCTTCTATGTTTTTTAAGTTGACTTTCGCCAAAACTGCATATAAGTACACCACTCATAGCCGCTTTAGAAATGTCGTCGTTTCTCATTATTGGAAAAACTTCTTTTTTTAATTGGAGGGAATCGTAAAAATCCTTGTAGGGACCTGTGCAAATCGTAAACAATTGAACTTTTGATAAATGGTTTATTCGATGTAAAGAATCTTGTGTTCTATCATCGGTTGCATTATGTAGCAAACACTGTTTTCGATGTCGCCTTATGTAATCACGTTTGAAAAATCCGAGACAATAGTCACAAGGTAAGTACGTTCCATTCTTTAAGTCAGGATTATCCTCAGTATCTCGGGGTCTTCTTATTGGTCTTATTACATCTTCTGATTTGTGACGGACGTAGTTTCCTTGACGGCGAATACTATCAAGTAAAATTTTTCTTTTCTTATTCGAATTAGGCAAACTGAGTACTTCCTTAACTGCTCCTTCTTCAGGGTGGTTTCTTTCTAAATGTCTCGGAAATTGTGTGACCTCACACATGCAGTAAGGGCACATATTTTTTTTAGTCCATGGTCTTATATTTGAAATAGCATCCACTTTACTTCTGTCGTCCTTAAGTATCACATGGGTATTTAATTACTTATTTAATTTTATTGATGAATAAAGAATATTTTCTGTTCGGGTTACGATTTCGAAATAACAGTACTATCATCTCAAACCTACAAGAGATAATTCTGGAATTAGGGCAAAGGAGCTCAATTTTGACGTTCAATAAAATATTGTCAAAATTATATAAAATATGTACCTACACTTTATTTTTTCCCAAGATAGATTTTGACATTGAAAACTTTGAAACATAAACAATAACGGTTGACCCTGATTGCTCGCAAAATGAGGTGTTTCTGCAGGTTGACATCAGTTTTACAATAGCGACCAATAAGCGGCATTAGCGGCATTGTTTATATTTCAAAGTTGACAATGCCAAAATCTATCTTGGGACAAAATAAAGTATAAGTAAGTATGATGAAAACCTTAATACCTACATACATTATACATTAAATTTGAATTATTTTAAATAGAATATTGCACTTGCGTAATTTTGACCAATTTAACTTGTTCTCTATTTCTTGTAGCCTCCGTGGTAGCAACGCTAGTTCTTTGAATTAGTTTTTTTTAAAATTAATTTATTTTGGACTAATTACTTACTTCAATAATTTTACCATAATTAACTATCGTTCTATCGGTATTACCCGAACCTTGAAGCCCAAGAATATTTTTGGAAATTGTTCTCTTTTGCTAGAAGTAAAGATGAATGTAATTAGGAAAGTTTGTGTGACCATGAAAGTCCTTTTTTTTGTTCCCTAGTTTAGGCAAAATTTGAGTTTACGATCAGTTTTTGCTTCGAAAATAATGCAAAATGGGGTTTACATTTTTTTTTCCATCAATTGGCTATACCTGTCAAATTTGACATATTTTCAAATAAAAATACAGAAAATTAGGTATAGTCGAATGTTGGAAAAGAAAAATTCAACATCATTTCGCATTATTTTCGAAGCAAATACTGGTCGTAAACTAAATTGGCCTAAACTAAGGAATTTAAAAAAAGTTCATATGATGCGGACTTTAATGGTCACACTGTATAAATAATTTAAAAGGCATATCGGCAAAGCAAAATAACACAACACAATTAATTATTATCTTCCCCTATTTATATTCTAGTAAAATTGTAATTCAGTTCACGACTTAAAAACTCGCTGCTCTTTTTTTCTCTAATCACATTTTCACCAAACTTTAAAAAAGTTAGAAAAATAGTTCGAAAATCGGGAAATAACTATAAAATAAATGCGAAGTTATTTAAATAAATAATAATATGCTCTAATTAAACCTGTAAAGCTCTTTTTGTTTTGAATCCCTTGATCTGTTAACTTTAGAAAACGTTGGCAAAATTATGGTTCAGATATCTATGAATTATTCTGAAATAACTATGAAATTACTTGCTTTTTCAATCATTGCCTTTGGAACTGTTGCAAAATTCAATTTTTTACTCTTAAACTACAAAAATTATTTGAGAATATCAAGAAAATATCGGAGATGATGCTATGAAAAAATGTTTCGGAAAACTCCAGGTTTCGTATTAGCTTGAAGTGAGCATAGTTTACTGTTGGCATCAATATAATCTAGAAATTATAAATAACTCAATTGGACAAAGGCGCCGAAGACTCCAAGCTGTTCTAGATAATCAGAGAGGTCATATTCACAATAGGTTCTTGTGAAATTATTGAAAAATCTTTTTTTTTTTATATTTTCGCTCTATTAATTTGTTAGTTATTAAAACCCTATTACGCTATATGGTATTATTATTTAAAAAGTTTTCGAGAAATACGGAACCTGAAGTTTTTCGAAACATTTTTTCATCGATGTTTTCTCAATATTTTCAAATTATTTTGGAGTTTAACAGTAAAAAAATTAATTGTGCAACAGTCCTAAAGGCAATGATTAAAAATATTGCTTCTTACTTGGCTCCCCCTCTACATTTTGACAAGATATTTTTTCTGCAATTAAGGAAAAATCCCACTAATATTCACACAAAATTTTACTAAAATCCGCCAGGTTGAAAAATAATTATTCAGAGCCAAATTGGGTTCCAAATAAATGTTTCCCACAGTGTATACGATTAAAAGGAATAATGGACCTACAAACCTCGGAGAGGGTTGAAAAGTGCATCGTCTTTGAGTAGAACGGAAGGAAATTTACGAGTGGCTCCTGGGGATAACATATGAAAAATTCAATTTTTCCCTGACCGAAATGAAAGATTTCTGGTGACCATATTTTCAAGCAAACCGTAATGGATAAATTAAAAGTACATAGTTTCGGTAAACCAAAAGTTCGAGTAACGCTAGGTGGCCTAAAGGGCTGAAAAAAGGGCGTAATCTTGTAAGGGAAAATCGAGATTTTGAGCGATTTTTCCAGACAAGCTTATCGAGAAGATGAAAGTATACATCTTCGCTAGCCCGAAAAATATATGGCCTTGGTGGCGCGAATGGAAAAGTACACTATAGCGTAACATAGGGAAAATTGAATTTTCCATAATATGTTATTCCTAAGAGCCACTCGTAAATTTCCTATCATTCTTCTCAAAATCGATGTACTTTTCAGCCCTCTTCAAGGCTTTTATGTAAAATGGGGCACCAAAACCTGTCACTATCTGACAGTCTAATAGCATTATGTTATAAATTATTGTGTGCCTGTAATTACCTGTGCGCCATCGTTTCTAGTATCTGCAATGGTAAGACTGGTTTGCTGATCCAAGCTAAGCGGGGGTTCCTTTCCTAGGGTTGATAAAGCCGAATTGTTTAGGATTTCCTTTTCAATTGGTATATTATCTGTATCTGTGCTCAACATAATGTCAATACTCGGTAGTGTCTTAAACCTCTTATTTTTTTCATTCACTGACGATTCTGTCCCAGTGAATGGAGAATTTCTTTCTCCGGAACCCGTCGTAGAGTCTTCCTGTGGGTCTGTAATTAACTGTGCGCCATTTGTTCTAGGATTTTCAATAGTAAGACTGGTGTCCTGATCAAAGCTGAGTGGGAATTCTTTTAGAAGTGATAAATCTGAATTGTTTATGTCTATATTTTCAATTTTTTTATTATCTATGCTAGACACAATGTCGATATTCGGCAGTGTTTGAAACCACTCATTTTCTTCATTCATTGACGATTCTGTCCCAGTATATAAAAAATTTTTTTCTTCGGAAACCGTCATAGAGTCTTCGCTTTTTTCTGATGTTCTCGTTGTCATTTGTCCATCACCATAATCTCTGGAAGAGCTTCCGATTGTCAACACTTCAACTCCATGGTCAATAATTTCAAGGGGCACTTTTTGAATTTCTTTGATTGGAGAGGATGAAAATGAGTAAACCGATTGATTATTTTCTTGAATCAAATTCGTATTTTCTATTGGTGACAATGCCATGTAACATGGGCGTGCCCTATTTAAGTCAGGAATATTTTTGTTGTTCGGTATTTCAAACCTCCTATTTCCTTCTTTCTTCACTGATAAATCATTATCGGTGTCTAAAAAATCCCCTTCTTCAAGGTTTTCTTTGAGATCGCCTTCTTTATCTAGAGAAACGTTTTGAATAGTGATATAATTGTTGTTTGATTTATTGAGCATCATCTGTTCGCAGTCGAGATTGAAACTATCGACAAGTAGCGATGCCATTTCATGGTTATTGATCGCAGTCACTGACCTCTATAAGTGGATAAGCAGTAGCGTATTCGAAAAATGGCAAACTGTAGGACCAAAAACCTGCGCCAAACCGGGTAGCCGTTGTACGTGCGCAATACACTTTCACTGTTTACAATCGTTTCAGAATCAAGGTCGAGTAGACAGGACCGCATTTAAATATTTTCAAGCAGGTTGAAATGTTCAAAACTAAGATATATACCAAAGACCTATATATACGGATATATTTAATATAGTTTACATTTGTAAGCATTTTTTTTTTTTTTTTTTGATAAAACCGAGAACTATTCCTATTTATGCCGGTTTTGGTGAAATAGTAAATATTCTTAGCATCAAAAATTTTGCCATAATCTATTGTGAAATATTGTTATGATAATTATTATTTAGTCATATTTGTTTCAAATATCACTACACTATATCTTTCTCTCTCTTAATGTATAGGTGTGAGTTCCCTGGAAGAGAAATAAGAGAATCGATTAGTTAAAGCCAAAGAAGCCTAGAGGGCTTTATAAGTATTTGTTTATCGTAACGTGTCTTTGTTTCTTATAGACAAAGTTACAGTTACAGTAATTTTCAAATAAAAACCTACAAAATTTATTTTCCTACGAGCGTGCGGAAAAAGCCCTTTTTCCGCACGCGTTGGCCTGGGGAAAGAGTAGTTTTTCCGCACTAGTGTGGAAAAATTTTTCCGCACGCCATCGCTTCTTGGATGAAGAAATACCCACAATCAATATGCAAACAATGGTGAATGGTGAATGTATAATTTTCAGCAGATTGTAGATTTAGCAAAAGCAAATGTTAAACAAATGTTGCAGATTCTATCGGGTCTTCAAACAAAAAAAAACCAATCAAAGATTGCTATGGTTTTTTGAACGTAGGTAAGTCGCATTATTGTTCCTTTATTGGTCAGGATTTTCGACATGACATTTTGACATTAACGTTAATTGACAAAATTGAAGAAACATGTTAAGACATATACGTTTAAAAAACCATAGCAATATTTGATTGTTTTTTTTTTTTGAAGACCCGTTATATTAGAAGTAATCACCAATAGTCGACAGTAGAAACTTTGGGAAGGAATCTGATCGATACCATCATCATGTGCTTAACTGTCAATTTGCATCAGCGATAATTTACAATCTGCTGAAAATTGTACATTCACCATTAAAGTTGTTTATAATAAATAAATAATGTTGTTTATTGCTCAATATAGATTCAAATTTGTTTTTTATTGTCTGCTCGTAGGAAAAATTGTGTTCCTAAAACTTGCGGAAAGTAATTTTTCCGCACTCGATGTCTATCCGAAC